ACTGGATGGAGTCTGGCTGCTGGATCTGTGCTCTGTGGTCCTGCTTCCATCCATCGTGGTCTGGGTGATGTTCTCAGTGTGAACTGTGGGACTCTGCCCTTTAGGCTGCTTTATATCGTGAGAGCTGCGTGCTGATTGGATGAGACAGAACAGGACCTACAGGTCCAGGTCTCCATTGTTCAAGTGAACCCCCCCCCCCCCCCCCACCTCACCACAGGGCCCTGAAGCCATTCAGGAACAAACCAGAGTGTAATCAAAGCTGTTGATTAGTTTTCGTTGAACACAAAGACTTTGATCATTGATTTATTGTAACAATTCATAAAAACAACCCAACATTTCACAGAGATAAAGCAGCGAGCTCTGAACTGTCTGGTTCAAATGGCAGTTTGTTCTTCAGCATCATCTCCAGAAAAACCTCCAGCTCTGAAATGTCTCCTCAGACTCCAGCACTCGTAAACGTCCGGTTTCACTAAAATGTTGGATGTTGTAAAACTTCAGCTCTGCAGTAACTGATGTTCACTGCAGCACAATAAATCTGCAGCTACAGACATTTACGGTCTGTAGCTGACTTCATGACTCATGTCCTTTTTTAAATATTTGATATTATATTTATATTTGTATTGGGAAAAAGACATTTTCTTACAATGCTTCTTATTCTTGGAACAAATGACAGCAGGACCTGAAGCTGTGCAGCTTAACTAAACTGAAGGGTTTTAAACTTATTCTAAGGACAATGCAGAAAGCATCAGTGGCTGTTCCTGTTCCTAATGCTTGTTATTGTATTTTATTTTTTATTGTATTTTTCCAGTTAATTGATTATATGAATTGTAATCATTAGTGTGTTTTAACATGATATACTTTTGTATGAATATTTTAAACAGGTCACTTTTGAAAATGAGTCCTAGCGTCTCAGTTAGATTTATTTGTATAAATAAAGAGGAAATTCTGGGAAAATTTAAAAGGAACGTTTACAGGATACTGAAGGGAAATCTTAAAAAAAATACCTTTGATATAACAGCATTAAAAAACATATTTATGTTTGTTTTTGGAGAGTGGAGACGAGAAAGTCAATGATGAGGGGATGCAGCGCCTCCCATAACCAGGGGAACACGGACACGCATACCCCTACTTGGCGGACTAACTCTTCCCTCCTCTCTGGAACACTGCAGCCACTTGCCGCATAGCGACTCCACTGTCCGAATGATCTCCTGCTCTTGTGTCGCTGGGTCCGGCATGGTCGCGTCGTACTGTCATGATCTGAGGGGACAGACCGTGCCGGGGTGTGTGTGGTGGACCCAGGTGCGAACACAAGAGAGTAGACCAGAGTAAAAAGCGAGCCTTTATTGTGGCTGATGACAGGTCTCAACACAAAGCAGAAACACTGTGACTAAACTGAACCTAAACTAAACTGGGAAACGGATACTGATAAACTAAGGAGACTCAGAAAACCATGACGATGATGTACAGACTGACCGGGAGGACATGGAGGGTGGGAACACAGACAACGCGACACAGACTACATGAAACACAGAGACTAAATACACAAGAGGGATGATCAGGGGAAGTGGCCACACATGGGAGCACAGCTGACACACATGAACCTAACGACAGGACAGGAGAAGTGAAACTAATACACTGACATTGAATACAGACTTTCAAAGTAAAACAGGAAACATGGAGATTAGACATGACATGAACTAAACATAGCCACGCAGACATGACGCATGAACCAGGGAGACTTAGTACAGGGGGAGACAACAAGACTAAACAGCAATCTAGAAATTAACTAGGTGAACTAAGCTAAGGCACAAATAAATACAAAAGATACATAAACTCAAACACTGGGTCGCTCGACCCAGGACCATGACACAAAACAGTGAAGAAGGCGCAGCAGCGCCTCTTCTTTCTCAGGAGACTAAAAAGATTCGGCATGAGCCCCCGCATCCTCAGGACCTTCTATTGCTGTGCCATTGAGAGCATCCTCACTGGATGCATCACCACCTGGTACGGCAACAGCAGCACTTACAACCACAAAGCTCTCCAGAGAGTAGTGCGGTGTTCTGAACGGATAATTGGAGGTGAGCTTCCCTCCCTCCAGGACATCTACAGGAAGCGCTGCCTGAGGAAAGCGGGGAGGATCATCAAAGACTCCAGTCACCCCAGCCAGAAACTGTTCAGACTACTTCCATCGGGAAGGAGGTTCTGCAGCATCGGGTCCCGTACCAGCAGACTGAGAGACAGCTTTTTCCATCAGGCCATCAGACTGCTGAACACGTCATAGACACCTCAGCTTCACTTACCAGAACTTCAACATTATGCACTCCACACTGTATATAAATGCCACTCGTTTTGCACATTTCCAACTGCCGACCTCTGTAGATTTAATTTAATTTAATTTAATTTTATATATATGTATATATACACACACACACTTAGATATACATATTTACTATACATATTCAGTAATGCGCATACATACTATCCATAGCCCCCATCCTTAAAACCTCCTCCCTCACAGAGAGAATTATGACCTTGTTTTCTGCTTGTCCATCATCTAAAACAGGAGTCTCTGTTTAACGTCTCCCATGAACTTACAATGGCCTCACTGTGGCAAATGTGTGTGGTAGAGCATAAGGCCCATTTGTAGTTCACATGCATACAACTAAGTGAGAAAGTGATATTACTGTTACTAATGTGATATGATTAAAATATGTGAACAATACACAGGATAAAGAAATCTGCCACCACACGGGAAACATGGAATTGTCTTCAATTATTCTGCCGATGACTCGAGGATTCATTAAAAAGATAAATGGTTTATCAGCAGACTCCCTGCTCAGGTGTCTTGATAAATTAAAGGCCTGGATGGCTTTGGGCTTTTTGCATTTTAATGAGCAGAAAACAGAAGTGACGGTTTTTGGTGGCTTTTCTGAGACCATGACTATGGATCTTGGTTCTTTGACACAGTTTGTTAAACCAATCATCACTAATCTGGGAGTTAAAATGGAAAACATACATCAGTGTAAGTGGAGATATTAATTCAATGTTTACTTTGATGAAACATCAAGAAAGACATGAAGTTACTGAAAAAAGGTTTTGGACTTCACCATTTAACAACAGTCCACACTGAACCACAGACAAGAACTGTAGTAAAATCAAATAATCCATATGAAACAAGCAAACGACATATCATTAAAATCAGTCTCAGTTATGTCATTAATTATGAAACAAAAACATATTGGAGAATCAATAATCAAAGAAAAAAATCAAAGCATTAAAGGCATTTTATTACAATATGCTATTGATTTAATCGATATTAATATATATTAAAAATTAAGTTAATGCTGTAATATTTGTAATTTAAAGGTCACAGAGAAAATAGAATGACTTATATGTAAACATTTAATTTCATTCAAGTCATAAAAATCTTTTTTTTTTTACTGAAAGAAAACCAAACTGTCTCTAATGACCAAAACTAAAGACGTTTTCCTGTCGCCTGTTTATTCATACATTTATGATAAATTGCCTTCTTTACTAATCAAACATATATTTATGAAAATAGTAATGGTTATAAATGAACATATTGTTACTTAACAACTCAGGGACATAAAACTCAGGGAATCCACACGTTCGGCTTTAATAATACAGTATATAATATTAGCCAGTCTGAGTACAGTCTTACTTGATACACATATACTGTGTTGTGATAACAGCTGTATTATACCACTGTCTTTTCATATTTAGACACAACTATAGTTACATGTCTCATTATTAAGTCTCTATTAACTAGCAGTCGAAGTATATTATGATCACACAAAACTGTATTACAGCTTTCTGCCATATTGTTTACTGTAATAATCAAATAACATGTCGATCCACTGTGATTTTTTTATTGACTGTTTTTACTATTATAATTCATTTTTCCCCTTTTCGGATCATTTTGTGGCCTGGCTGCATCTGACGTCAGAGATTTGTGTTGAACTAATAAATTCTGCTGTGATTGTTCATTGTAATTGGTGACAGAAATAAATTACATAATTATGTGAAGAAGTACTTCTATAATAACTTGTCTTTAGTGTTTTTGTAAGCTAACAAATGGAGTTCTTTAACATACCCTTATATTGTTAGATTGTGTTTTGTGTATTCATTGGAAATGAATACATGTATTTAGCTTTAGAAAATAATGAATCTCCAGGCAGAAGTGTTTTCTATGTGCTGCAAAATATGGGGAAGTATACAGAACTTTAAAGAAGTACTGATTCATTTTTGTTTGTTTTTACTGACATAAAATGAAGCATCTGAAACTGTTCGTTTCTTATCACATAACGCTGCAGGCTGATGCGTCATTGATCTTTTCTGATAAGATTTCTTGCATAAGCGTCACTAATTCTTTTTCATGTGTTTCCTGGAGTTCCTCTTTTTTATCCTCATCCTTCACTTTCTTCATTTCATTTTCCTGTTTTTCCAGTAATCTCTTGATCCTGTAATAACTAGAATTCCTTTTGATGACATGTTTCAGTAACTCATTCATTTCCTTCTGATATTCTTTCTTCTGATAAGCTAATTCCTCCACAAGTTTCTTTTGGGATTCATTGGCATTTTCAGCTTGCTTTCTGGCTTCTTCTTCATGTTTTTTCTTCATCTCCTCCAGTTCTTTTTTCTCTTTTTCCTCCTGTTCTCTTCTGAGGTGATCCTCCTTAAGTTTGTTTTCATATATTTGCTTTTCTTGTTTGTACTTTTCTTGAAGCTCTTTGATTTTTTGCTCTTCCTCTCGTCTTGTCTCTTCTTCTTGTCGTTGTTTCTCCCACCATTCTTTCTGTTCTTTCTCCCACTCTTCTTGTTGTTTTCTCAGCTGTTCTCTGCTTTCTTCCAGCTTTCTGTCGACATTTTTCTTTTCCTCTTTTTCTGACTGAATTTGTTTATCCACAATTTCAATCTGTTTGTTAAAATTCTCTCGATATCTTTCTACTTCCTTTTTCTTAGTGATTTCTTCTTCATTTCTAATTTGTTCCTCTTTTTCTTCTCCTCTCTTGTTCGAACCTAATTTTCTCCTCCATTTCCTGGAGTTCTTTGGCTTTTTCTTGTCTCTCCTGTTCCATTTGTTTCCTCTCTTTTTCCATGATTTGCTTAATGGTTTCCATTTCTTGATTGTATTTTCTCTGAATCTCTTCTTCCTTCTTCTTTAGAATGCTCTCCATTTTCATCTGTATCGCTACTTCAGCCTCTTGCAGCATCTTATTGGTGAAGTAGTTGCCTCCATTGTTCTTCATCATGGTGTCAATCTTTGTTATCAGCTCGCTGACTTGTGTGCGGTTTTGTTCCTCACGGTTGTTGAACACATGGTATCTTCTTCCACAGTCAGAGATCAGCTTCTTGAAAGAAATATGACATTTGTTCTTGATGTAATCATCAACAGACTCTCCCTGACGCTCCAGTTCATCACCTCTGGTTAAAAGAACGATGGTGAACTTTTCTGAATCCTTCTTAAAGAATTTCTTGATGAGCTTCAGTGTCTCCTTCTCCTCTGCTGTGAATCTGCCGACCTGTATCACCACCAAGAAGACATGTGGTCCTGGAGCCAGGAGACTGACACATTTCACCATCTCCTCTTGAATTTCTTCATTGGACAAACTTGTGTCAAACAGACCAGGAGTGTCGACCACAACAGGACGACCGTCCACCTCACTGTGTACTTTCTGACATTGTTGTGTAACTGATATTTGACTTGATTTAGCTGCAAACTTGTCTCTTCCTAAAATCGTGTTTCCTGTAGAGCTCTTTCCACAGCCGGTCTTCCCAATCAGCACAATCCTGAGACAGTCTGAGTCCTGTTCTCCACCTTCATCGCCTAAAACATAAACATAAAGTTTTATATTTATTATTATAGGTTGTTATGTCAAGACTGTAGGACATCAGACTAAGAAAAATATTTGTGCTTACCTGTGATCATGTTCATCTTCAATTTCTTAGCTTCATCTTGTTGCGTCTTAATGATTTTCTCTTGTTGTAAGACTTTCTCCATTTGTGCATGTAGCAAGGTTATAGCTGTATAACAGTGTGGTTTGCCCATGCTCTTTTCAGACAGGCTCATTTTATCCACAGTCTGAAGCATGGTCTCTAAACTATCCCTCTGCTGTTTAGCCTTGATATTGAGAACCACATGTCTTTGTCTAAAAGTCTGAAGGAGCTTCTGGATGTCCTGGTTTTCCTTGAAAAAGTTAATAACAGCTGGATCTGTAGGATCTGAGTCCACGGTGAACAGAATCATGGTGAAGTCATTGACTCGAGAGCTGAATGCATCCTGGATGGTCTCTAACTCTCTCTTGTCTTCATCCGTGAGGGGAGCCACAGGTAGGACCAGGATGAAGGCATGGATTGCCTGACAGAGGGAGATACACTTGAATGATTCCTCCATCACTGCCTCCTGAGGTTTTCCATACAAGGCAGGCAGCTCCACCAGGGAAACCCAACGTCCACACACCTCTCCCTGATGTTTAACACACTCTGATGAGTTGGAGGCTGAATGAAGCTCAGTCTGACCTAAAATGGCCTTGGCTGCTGACGTCTTCACTGCTCCTCTCCTCCCACACAGAACCAGGTTCACACTGGACTTCACTCTCGTGGGTTTAGCCTCTTCTTTTAACATGAGATATTTTCCCCAGTTTTTACTCACTATTTGATTCATTTTTTCCATAAACTTTGAGTAAGATATGGGAATGTCTTTTTTGTCAAAACTGATATATTCCTGCCTGTGATCACAGTGTTTGATGAGTCTTTCCACTGAGGAACTCTTTCTCTCATTATGTGTCAGGATGACCATGGAGTGCTTAAATGCATCTTGACCAAACACACTGAGGACCAAGTTCAGAGCTTTTCTGTCCTCTTCAGAGAAATCAGATCTCACTAACAGCAGCAGAACATTTGGTCCAGGAGGACAGAGACTCACACAGCTCTTCATCACCTCTAACAATTTATCAACAGACAGACTGAAGATGTCGGGAGTTTTGACTACTGTTAACGGTTTCCCGTTCCACTCTCCAGAGGCAGCGTGACATTGCCTTCCTCCAAGGACTTTAGACACAATGGATCTTTTCTTTCCAGTGATGAGGTTTTCCAGGGCTGATTTCTTGTCATCATTTTTTCCAAACAGCATTATTCTGAGTTCATGTGCTGAAAAAAAAAATTTCATAATGAGAACACACATATTTCCATCACACTCCCATTTACCACATTTCATTACGTAGTTTTCAATAACTAAATAGACCAGAAAAATGTTCTTTAAAATATTTCTGACTATATCTTTTAGTTGGTTACAGGTGGATCAGCACAGACAGAAAACTTAGGTGTCACTTGAGTCTGTAACACTAACAACTGCCATCAAATTTGAATATTATCTCACTGTCGACTGATCCATCCATCTCTCACCATGTTGTCGCAGTGTGTGTGTGTGTGTGTGTGTGTGTGTGTGTGTGTGTGTGTGAAACTATGGACCGTATTTACTAAATGTTGTCCCCAGTTACAGTTAGGTGTGGGTAGTTTCCTTTTACACTCAGCTGTCTCTGCAACACGATGGACTGGTACAGCATCCGTATCACTTCAGCTGCAGCACCAATCCGTCTCTCAATATCCTGCTTCCTTCTCCCATCACTTGTGAACAAGACCTAAAGATACGTAAAATCCTCCAATTGGGACAGGATCTCATCCATGACCCAGAGTGGGCTCTTCAAACTTTTCCGACTGAGGAACATGGTGGAAATTTGAAAATGTTGATTCTCATCCCCACTGCTCACACTAGGCCACGGCCTGTTACAGGCAAACTGGAGGCCATTTCCCACCAGGAGTCTGACTTATTGCCTCCAACGTTCCACATGCCACAGCTGTGAGTTGAAGATCTCGTGGACTGGAGCCTCTGCCAGGCATTCGCAGCGCACCTTCACTGTACTTTTAGGTGTGCTTGGTCTGTCCGTGTGATTCGACTCACCACCAGGTCGTGATCAGCTGATATCTCATCCCAACTCTTTACCAGAGTGTCCAGAACATATGGCTACAGGTCCAGTGATACATTTACAAAATCCATCATCGACCTGTGACTTGCACCTATGGAAACCCCTATGTTCGAACATGGTACTCGTTATGGACAAAATGGGATTTGCACATAAGTCCGAGAAATAAACGGAGTGTCACAGGGCTCTGTATTAGGTCCCCTTCTATTTATCATTTACATAAACAATCTTAGTCTAAATGTGCTAGATGCAACATTGCACTTCTATGCTGATGACACAGTTATTTACAGCTGTGGTTCAACTCTTGTCCAAGCCATTGACTTCTTGCAGAAAACATTTTCTCCTGTCCAGTACTCGTTACTTTAGCTTAAACTAAAGCTTTTATTCGCCACATGCAGTGGCAGGTTGCCCTGCAGTGGATGAACCCGCCCCCCGACCATACACACACAACACAGACATCACATGGGGATACAAGTCAGAGAACGGTTGCATTACAGAAAAACACTGAAATGTACACTACAATGGGAAAGTACAAGAGGGAAAAAAAGAGACCTCTGCTCATGCTGGGCTATAGGAGGACAGCATGAGAACAGGAAACAAAAAACACTGCTCCGCACAGAAAAGCACATAAATGTCCACAGCACAACAATATGGAGCATGTGACCAGCAACAGGGTTGGGTAGGGGATGAGGAGTAATCCGAAGCGAACACAGCAGCCATCCTGCCACTGCGCCATCTCTCCAGCGCGGGCCCAGACCCGCCTCGTGTTCCCCGACCCGCCTCGTGTTCCCCAAGAGGAGTCAAGCATCGAAGGCGTTGGAAGGGGAGGGGGGAGAGTGAGTGCTTATCAGTGTAAGTGTATGTGTGTGTATGTCCAGAGTTCAGCTGAGACAGTGTGCTTCGCCCTATCAGGCTAAGTAAACAGACTACCAGCCAACCCAGGTGGCCTTGCATGGAATGGGAAGAACAGTCTAAACACAGTCGTTATCAGGGTGTTGTTGTTCGGCTCCAGCCTTGAGCCCACAGCTGGCGCCGAAGGGATAGCCGCAATTAGATGGTATTTTTTTCTTTTATACAAACAACTCATGAGAATTTCAAAGTTGTACTTTAACACTCCGACACCGACACTGGTCTCTCAATCTCCCGTTGGAGAGCCGCGAGCTTCTCCATGATGTTATCAAACTTGCACTCCGTGGTCTTGTCATTCTTGTGCTCAGAGAGCAGATTCTGAGAACTCAAGACTGCAGTGAGCTGTTCCACAATGTAATCCAGCTTTCGCTCAGAGGTCTTATTCTGAGTGTTCATGGCAGCCGTAAGCTTCTCCAAGATCTTAACCATGCTGCACTCAGGGAGCCCATTCTGAGAAGTTGCACCTTGTCCCAACATTTCAATCCCAGCGGGCAGCCTTGGGGTGTTTGCACAGCCGGTTCCGCTGTCTTAATTCTCCGATAAGCCAGGGCCAAGCCAGCTCCAATCAGCAAGAACCCTGTTATCATGGTTCCAAATAGATAGATATCTTCAGCGTCCTCGATCGACAGTCCCGCCAGGCACACGACCCTCCAGTTATGCCACCCGTCCATCGTGTGTCCGGCAGGGAAAGTCCCTCCAGGGCACTCGGGGTCTCCCGACCCGGGGCTTCTCATTGAGAAAAGGGTGTCAATTGCATTCAGAAACCAGTTGATAAAATCCATAATTCTCTTTTAGGTTTTAGAGAACAGACTGTGAGAGTGTGTTCCAGGGAGAAATAAAAACACGAGACAAGACAAGGACATAAGAAGCTAAGCAGGGAAGATAAGGGAGAGGAGAGGAGAAAAGTGTGACCGCCTTCGCCGAGAGCCAAACGAGCAACTCAACTGTTGTTCAACAACTGTTCTCAATTCAGGCAAAACAAAGCTAGTGTTGTTTTCTAAATCAAGGAAATGGACCCAAACAATTCCATCAGTAACCACTCTTCAGGGTAATATAATAGAGTTTGTTCACACGTAGAAATATCTGGGTTTTTCTTTTAATACAAAGAAGCGGCTTGTTGCTGCAACATTTTTAACTGTGCTGGATTATGGAGATATTCTGTATATAAATGCTTCTGCTGCTCAATTTCTTCAAATGGTTGATCTGATGTTCATCACTAACCGTACATTTCAGACTCACCACTGTGAGTTCTATTCTCAGGTAGGATGGTCTGCTTTGGCAAGTCGGAGGAACTCTCACTTATGCAGTTTTATTTATATGGCAATACTGGGATTGCTGCCTTCTTATATATGTTCCCAGCTTGCAATGAAGCATGCTGGTCGCTATCCTCTTCATCCACAAGGTTATTTGTTGCTTTCTGTTCCATTTGCCCGAACTGAATTTAGAACCCTGTGCTTGGAACAACCTGCAGAACGACTGGAAAATGACTGAATTCTTTTCATTAAGTGCTTTTAAATGTAAACTAAGAATCCATGAAACTGTTTCCATTAGACTGATTGTCATTTTAACAGAATTTGGAATTTTTGTTTAATTTTATTTTTATTTTTTTAATTTTTATTTATTTTTGCATGTGTGTTGTTGCTGCTGGCTGTGTTTAATTGAGTAACTTTTGTAACTGTGAGATTCTTCCTGCTGCCTATCTTGGCCAGGTCGTCCTTGAATAAGAGGTTTTTAATCTCAATGGATCTTCCTGGTTAAATGTGTGGATGACTGAATGTAGTGTAAAGCACTTTGGGGTGCATAGGGACTAAGTAAAGCACTATACAAATACAGGCCATTTACCATTTAAATAAAGGTTTTTAAAAAAAGAAAGAAAGAAAAAACAAACAAACACACCACTCGGCTTTTGATCCGGGAGGCCGCTCTACCCAATCACGCCCCTCCAGGTCTCATTGTCATTGCCCACATGACCATTGAAGTCTCCCAGTAGGACAACAGAGTCCCCAGGTGGAGCACCTTACCCAAGGACTCCAAGAAGGCTGGGTACTCATCATTCAGCGCATATGTGCAGATGACAGTCAGGATCCATTCCCCGACCCGAAGGCACAGGTCCAAACCCTCTTGTCCACGGGAAAAAACCCCAACATATAGGCAGCAACCTGAGGGGATACTAGGATACCCACCTCGGCCTGCTACCTCCCACCAAGGGCATCTCCAGCTGGAGACAGAGTCCATCCATTCTCCAGGAGACTGGTTCCAGAGCCCAAGCTGTGTGTTGAGGCCAATTATATCTATTCGGTGCCTCTCAACCTTACACACTAACTCAGGTTCCTTCTCACCAGAGAGGAACATTCCATGTCCCAATTTCTTGTCTTGGTAGCAGGGGATTAGTCCGCTAGGGCCTTGTTCCTGGCTGCTGCCCGACACACTGCACCAGACCCCTACGGTGTGAATTGCTGCGGATTGCAGGTCACCTTAAGCTTCGTGTCCTTAAAACACTCTGTAAGAGTAAGCTGAAATAACTAGTAGCAGACAAGTTGGTGGAGGCTGGTTTGATCCAAGCCCCTTACCTGCCTGAAGGCTCTGGTGAGCTAAGACGAACTTCCTTGTTTGAGGGCGACCATAAAGATGGTTCTAGTATGGATGGTGTGGGAGATGAGCGGGCGAAGACACCGCGCACGCTCCCTGGCTATGATCACCTCTCCTCTGGAAGTTCAGAAGCATGGATTGGGGCCCGGTTAAAGGTGCGACTGGTACGGCTCCATTTGGAGGCTGAGGAGAAGGCCCAGGTCAGGTGAGCTCAGCTAGAGCTTGAGATCCATTGCTTGGAGACAGAAGCAGATAAAGCAATGAGGCTGCGTAAGATGGAGTCTCAGCCACAAGCCTCATCTGTCTCTGCTGTTCTTCCAGGTTCTACCCCGACTTTGCAGTGGCCGAGTGATATATGGCCCCTTTTATTGCAGTGTAAACTGACTGGCAAAGCCCAGAAGGTGGTGGCCACACTTCCTTTACAGGACAGTTTGAATTATTCCAGTGTAAAATCGGCTGTTTTTCAGGCCTATGAATTGGTCCCTGAAGCATACAGGCAGAAATTTCGGCAACAGAGGAAACTTCCCTCCCAAACATATGGGGAGTTTACCAGGGAAAAAGGGATCCTTTTTGACAAGTAGTACTCTGCGTTAAAAACCAATGATTATTAATCACTGCGTGAATTGATGTCACTGGAAGACTTTAAAAAGGGCCTTCCAGAGAGTGTAGTTTTACACTTGAATGAGCAGAAAGTAAACACTTTAGCAACTGCAGCTGTTCTCGCTGATGAGTATGTGCTCACCCATAAATCCTTTTTCACAGTTAATGAGAAGTCATGGCTCAGTGCCGTGCAGCAGGCAGGCATGGCTAAAACTTTAGGTTCAAAAGAGTCATGAATTTCGTGTTGTTATTAACCGGGACATGTCATTGTGAACTGTTTGGACCTGAAGCGCAAAACATTAAATTCTCAGCAAACTAAAGGTATTGCCTTTGTGAAAGCAGCGTCCCATCCTGAGGTGCTTGGTTGTGGCGGTAAGGTGCCGGGACCTTATTTTGAACCGTTCATCTTTGATGGTTTGGTCTCACTAAGTAATAGAAACACTGACCTGAAACCAGTGCGCATATTGAGAGACGCTAGAGGTTCTCAGATTAATTCTTTCTAGTGTTTTGCCTTTCTCAGCAGACTGCATGTGGTTTTAATGTTGTACTGCGTGGAATAGAGATGGCTCCCAGACCAGTTCAATGGGTTTATATATAATCAGAATTTGTTGCGGGAGTTTTTCCCATTGCAGTATGCCCAACCTTGCTAACCTTGCGTGTTGTTGGGAAATGACGTTGCGGGTGGGTTAGTGCGTCCTAGTCTGGAGGTTCTAGATCAGTGGTTCTTAACCTTGTTGGAGGTACCGAACCCCACCAGTTTCATATGCGCATTCACTGAACCCCTCTTTAGTGAAAAATAAAATATGATTTTTTTTTCAAATTCAAGACATAGATTTTGTTTTACTGGTGCACAAAATGAGCCGTGCATGTCACGGCGGAGGCTCTGCCGAACCCCTGAGACGACTCACCAAACCCCTAGGGTTCGATCGAACTCAGGTTAAGAACCACTGTTCTAGATAATCCCGTCAGTCACAAGGCCCCAGACATTTCGTTGACCCTGAAGCTGTACCCAGCTTGTGTGGTTACTCGTGCACAAGCCCGTAAAGATGTTGATATTTAAACTCTTTTTGTCTAAGTGCTTGTGAAATATTTGCAAAGTGTCAGTGCAGTGTGTTATCTCAGTGAAGATGACTGGACTCACCAGATTCTGAAAAGGCCATGATGTCACTCTGCTGAAAACACCATAGACTGGTTGACCTGTAGAGGGGAAAGTGTTTGATGCTATAAACACAACACTGACAAATACACACTCCAAAAGCAAGGCGACTGTAGAAAATTAATCCTTCTAACCAAAAAGAATCTTTAACCTTAACTATGATGCCATTTTTAATTATTAGTATTTAAATTAAGTGATAAGTATGGAAGAAGCAGAAGCATGTAATTTATGCATAATCATCATTAATATTAACATAATATTAAAAGTTCAGAGTTAAGAGGTTCTCAGTCATCCAGGTCATCGTAGTCTAAGGAGCTTGGAAAGAAAAGCGTCTGGACTTCTTTAAGTTGCTTGAAAATGTTCATATGGCTGATAACTGTGATTTGGTGTTTTAAAAAATATCACCTACGCATTGCCCCTTAGTATTACTTTGTACTATTATTTCATCTAAAATTTTGATATAATAATTAATTTGACAGTTTTGGGTGAGATCAGTGATTTACTTTCTAAATACATTATCGACAATCTTCATTTACATTTAATTTGGAAGAATTTACTTTCATTCTAGTTCACTCACCTGCTGATGTCTCCAATGTCTCCTTACACCAAGATCAACTTGACAGTTCAAAAGGTATGAATTAAAGTAGAGCTGTGCCTGGATTAATAAAATAAGATAAAAGTGTTTCACATGGCGATATTTCTCCAAATGTAAAGGTTTAATACAAACTGTGAGTGCTACAAAGATCAAAGTGTTTACAGCTGTTTTCTATGTTTGAAACACATTTCCATTGCATATTTACCAATTGCTGAACATATTTTACGAAACGTATTCAAAATTCAAACTATTTAAGAAAAAATATATACAAATGTCACGGCTGCGGCGGCAGACGTGTGGAGTTATGATCGAGGACCCAAAATGGAAGCACGGCTTATGATGCAAGTGAGCTTTATTTAAGGTGAGCAGGATACAGCAGGAGCAGAGAATGGCATACACAGAAACTAAAGGGAACCTAAACAGAGGAAACACAGGGAGACTCCAGGAGACATCACAGACGGACCAGCGATGAGAACGAGCTGACTGCACTACAAATACACAAGCAGAAACACGAAGGAATGAGGAACAGGTGGCAACACGGCTGGAACTGATTGGGCAAGACGAGACAAGGAAGTAAAGCAGAATACATGAGACACAGACCTTCACAATAAAACAGGAAACTCAACACACACAGACTCAGAGACACGGGCTTTACACAGAGACCTGACTACACTGGAACACACAGGCAGGGATGAGTAGACACAGAACAGAGGGAGCACAGAATAACATGAGGAGCAAAGGGATCAAAACTAGGACCTAGAAATACAGACAGCAATAACATGAGGGAAATAAATAATAAACAGTGCAACTCACTGGGTCACAGACCCAGGACCAGGACAATAAATACAAACAAAATAACTGAAAACTCACAAGTATATAATTTATGATTACACAGAAGGTTACGTGTTGTAACCAGTAGTGACTGAATGTCATGAAACATCTGGTTCTGGAGGTGGAATGACATGTTCTCTATAAAAGTATGTAATCATATAAGAATTTTACAAAATTGCTAGAAGTAATCTGAAGTGTCAGCTGAGATCAAACAAAACGAAAATCACCACTTATTCCCTCACATTGAAAATTGTATTTACGTCAGTAGTTTCCCTTGTTTTCTTTCGGTGAAGCATTTAGGTATCTAGGTATTACTTACCTGCTGAAGTCAGTTGTGTCCTCACACCAAGATGGCTAAAGTGAAAGTAAATAAAACTCCAGTTCTGCCTGTGAAATATGTGGACTGGGTGTGGTTTGGAAAAAAATGTGTCCGGTAACACTAGCTTGTTTTTCAGTTGAGAAACATGGACTCAGACATCAAGATGTTAAATCCCACCATATCTGTGCTCTGATGTTTTTTCCCCTAAAGTTAAAGTCCTCTTTGTAAAAAACGTGAAGAAGTCATCAAAAAATGTTTTGCAACAATCAATACACTGAAACAAAGAAATTAGTGAGTTTTGGGGAGTAAAAGCTACTGAGATGTGGTGTTTTGAGTCAATGTGCTTTGATCAGTAGTGGTTCCATTGTTAATTCAATGGTGCTGGTTTGGTTGGTTATTATGCAAATGTACAGTTTATAAGGTCGAGGAAACCTGCAGTCAGCTGAGACTGAAGAAGTCACTGAGTGACGAAACGTTTCTCCCACTGAAAACATCCAGATGAACACAATCAACGTTTTGGGATTTACTTACCTGGATGACTGAGCCTGAGCATCAAGACATTTTACCCAAGGATGTTTGGCAAGAAGACTGAAGCAGCCTGGAATCAAAACCCCAACATTTCGGTTGAGTAGGTGACTTGCTCTACCACCTGAGCTACAGCCACCCCAGACATATTACAGGGTTTAAAGTCTACAAGAATTAAATATCTTGGAAAGAAGAAAGCAAGAAATAAAAACACCTGGAAGAAACTGTTCTTCTTTCATTTACTCATTGTAACTCACTAGGCCAGAGTTACAGCAAGCACAATTTGTTTGTCGCCACAAATGTATCGCCCATATGAGATCACTAAATGTTTCTCAATCCTAAAAGCTCACACGGCGTCTGTTATGCATGTCTATTTCTGTAAAGAGAGACCTGTCTGACCTGTTTTGTATCAAAACTGTACCAACCTGTACCTGGTTGGTACAGTTTTCAGTGCTTTTGCATTTTCACTTCAGCCAAACACCAGGTCAGACAAACTTTATTTCAAAGAATTGTTCCCCAACCAACAAAAAGATGGATTAGTCAAAGCATTCACAGTAGTGATGCGCGAATCATGAATGAATTGTTCAATACTCGAGAATCACTTTACTGACTCATGAATCATGATTCACAAGCCCAACTGACTCATCCCTGTTGCTGTTAGCAGCAATGTATCTAGCTTATAATTAAAATTGTGGAGAAAAACACAACATCCAGTATTGTAACAAAAAATTTCTGCTCTGAACTGGAAGAAAAAACCCTGAGTAGAAGCTCACATCAAGAAAATAGCTCCTCGGTTCACAGTAACATCGCTCTGCTAACATGCTAACAGCACATTTGAGCTACTCACCCCCTCCGTCCTGGCTCACAGCTTCTTCTTCTTCTTGGTTGGCAACCAATGTTAAGGCGCATTACCGCCCCCTGGCTCACAGCTCAGTGGACATTTAGATGAAAAAATATATATTTAACACATTTAAGGAAAATACTAATAAAATAAAAAATACAAATATAATAAAATAAAATAAAATAAAATACAAGTTTATTAAGCAATTTTGATAGGAAATTGCTTAATTTTAGAAATGTTTTTGCTCTTTTTTGCTCTATAAAATAGTTGATTTCTTTTAGAATCATTCATCTTAGCAGTAGGATTTACATGAAAAGAGAAACAAATTAAGTTTGAGTGAAAATGTACATTTTTTGCACTCCCTGGTCAACTGACTCAGTGAATCAAATGACTCAAAAAACGCGATTCACTTTGGTGAGTGACTAATTAAAACTCAATTCAGTAAAAAGAATCAAATTTATCATCACTAATTCACAGGCAGAGAAAATTTATACTATTTATACTCATAGAAATTAGTGTAAGAGTGATGATGTACTGAGACAATCTCTCCTGAACCAAATTCCACTTTTGGTTTTAAGTGGCCTCCTCCTTTGTAAGCAACCAGAAACCAGACAAACATGATTTCATTCCATAAGCAGTGTAGCTCTTGTAAAGGTCATCTTCCCTTTACATGAGTAGATCACACATTTACCAGCTAAATGTGGTCTGATAATTTATTTGCAGGTATTGCACAGATATAACATGGATATTGATTGAGTTCTCTTAAAAAAAAGAGTTTACCATGAATCATTTCAATAACTGTAAAATGTCATTTGTCATCCAGACTGTGCTAAAATTTACAACATATACAAGACACACTTGAACACAAAGATGCTACACATACAAATAAGCTGAATTGTCCATTAACTACACACTGCTGTCTCTGAATAAAAGTAACCTTCTACAAGTCTTGCAAACATTTGAAACAAATTTTAAAAGAGGAAACAAAAGAGCAGTTTGGGGCAAGTTACTTTCAAAAAGTAATTTATTATAGTTACTTTCTTGAAAAAAGTAACTGAGTTACTAACTGAGTTACAATATTCTAAAAGTAATTAATTACTTGAAAAGTAACCATTGCGTTTCTTTAAAAAAAATGTTTAACCCTCTGGGGTCCAGGGTATAATTGGCCATTTTAACTACTTTTGATGTTTCCTCCACATTTCACCTTTAAAAACTATTTACTTTGTCTTGTTTGGTATCATCAGCACAACCTCACATGTCTGAATTTACAGTTATCTTTTCATTATATTTTTTACTGTAACAACCACAAACATGTTTAATGAATCAAACAAATTATTTGTGCCACTCTAAAAACATAATTTCTGTCCACCATAAAGGAGAACATCACAGCCTGATACCTGCAGGTCTGACATGCTCTTTTTTGACATGCAGCGGCGCTGCACACATTAACCAGGTAAAATACATATTTAGGCAGAATTGTGCAAATATCTATTTTTTTCAGCAGCATAGAGCTTTTTTTCCAATTATTTTTTAAAAGTCAGGTCAAGGCTCTAAAAGCACAAAGGCGATTCGAGGCTGGCGGCTCACAGCAGTTTTTGTTTGCTGGATCCTTTTAGTTCAGCTGGGTGTCTTTCCTTTTGTTATATTTCTTTAAGAGTTCAAAATGTGTTAATTAAATAAATAAAACGTAATTTTCTCTGTAGCACTTCATGGATTTCATAAGCAACACACCTTAGTAGCATAAAGGTAAAAACAATATATACAGTGTTATCTTCATTTTAGATGTCAAAAAGTATTTGCGGCTCCCAGTGGTTTCTTTTGCATGGAAACCAGGTCCAAGTGGCTCTTTGGGTGTTAAAGGTTGCAGAACCCTGGCCTAAGGGAAGCATGTGTAATGTAAACAGAATTGGTCCTAGCACTGAACCCTGTGGAACTCCACAATTAGCCTTAGTGTTTGAAAAGGACTCTCCATTTACATGAACAAATTGGAATCTATTAGATCAGCGTTCCCTAACCCTTTTTTGTGCCATGGACTAGTTTAATGTCAGACAATATTTTTACGGACCAGCCTTTAAGGTGTCGGGGACAAAAACAACAAAATCAAATGATACGACCAAGAAAAAAAAACTGTCGTATTTTGTAAATATAATAATAATAATCGTGAATTCACTATGCAATTGTGTAACTTTATTAACAGCGTGCTCCTGAAATGCGCCAACAACATTTAGAACAGGGGTCAGCAACCTTTAACACCCAAAGAGAAGTGGCACAATTTAGGGGATGTAGAAACTAAGGGGTTTGATCTGCGATGCTCATTAATTCCACTCACCAAGGGGATTGAAGGTCAAGCAACCGGGGAGTCTGGATGAACAGTCTCATAGGTCCAGGCCCTGCATATTCAAGCAGGGACACGGAAGAAAAGTTCCCCTCCATAAAAACTGTCTGAGCACAGGTGACCAGAAATGCTTGCTTACCAGCTAGTCCCCGCTTCCAGAACAGTCTAAGTTTCACCTGGAAACACGCTTTTTCCTCTCCTCCTCCGTGATTTGTGTAGATCCAGAAAGGTACCACTGGTGACGCCTGACGAAGATCCTGACACCGGCAGCGGAGGATGGAAAATACCGTCGCAGGAGGATGAGGTATCCAGACCCATCATAGAGGATCGAATAGATAGGAGCGTTAGGCGATCACAGACTAAGGCAGCCAACACATCAGTGACAAAAAGGGAGAGCAAAAGGGCCGAAAAGCCCTTTTCCGTGCCCAGCTGTTCCTAATCATCCTCCATATTGTATGGCCTATTTAATGGCGGTGCTGGGCGACAGTCAGCGTGGGAGTATTGTACCGAGCCTGGTAGTAATTGCTGGCATCGAGCTAAGTAGAGACTAACCTGCTGAAGAGAAGACTTAACTTTTTGTATTAATTTCTCCTAGGATAGAGACGGGAGGCTCAGCTGGAGAGGAATTGAATGCTGGCTCACTAGGGGAGAAGACACAGTACCACACACAATTGGGAAACGGGAAACTCACTCACACGGAGGACTACTTGAACATTGGACTCTTTGTCACCCTTCCTTTTTCACTGTAAATAAAAGCACTGTCTGTTCCTTCAGAAGCTCCACACCCGGGTCCCTCATTCCCCGTGACAACCAGAAGTGATTGAGTGAGTAAGTTTACCAAGTGACGTGAGTTACAGCTACACCAAAGTTTTCTAGATATGTGACTAATCATAGCGACACCCTGGGTGACCTGAAGGGAATGGGAATGGCAGCAGGAGACAATTTAAACTGGAGTTTACTTTTACGATTCTCCGATTATTGTTCACATTAAAGAAATAACAGAGAAGAGAATCACTGGAATTTATTTCAGCGTTAGTTTAATCTTCCTTTAAAATGTGCTTCAAAATATTTAAAAATAATGTGACAACAGCAAATGAAAACAGACAAACAATATTTTATATAATTTGTAATTTTAAAGAATGAACAGTCAGAACAAACATAAGAGGAAAGGTTATTATCTTTTTTCTCAGAAATGTTGCACAGTGGTGGCAGCTCATGTAAATGTTATGAGGTATTCTGGGTAGGCCTGGATATCATTGAAGACAATAAACATTGTTGGATTAGTGGTGTTATCTGTGACGCTGTCATACAGGTCTGAAGCATTCCCAGATTTGGCAGGAGGGGTGATCATGCCACTTCTTCCATTGGTGTAGTTTCCAACAAGAACTCTGGCCTGGTAAATGCGTTTGTGGCCTTTGGTGTCAGGTCTGGCATAGCCTCGTGCTGAATAGCTAGGGTCCACAGCAAAGTAAGAACCTTTGCCGATTGCTGCACCTACTGACAGAGCGAATAAATAAAAAGATTTAGTCAAAGATGGTCGACAAAAGTTTTTTTTAAGTGAACGCTGCTCCACAGCTGTGGTCTCTGTCAGATATGTATCATGTATGTCATTAGAGTGTTTAACTATCAGTTTGTAGGTGGAGGGTAAAAAAAAGCTGTGGCTTGTTTCTGGTAGCCCAGGTGTAGCCGGGAACATCCGCCCTAAATGTTGGTAAAAAAAAGGTTTGTGCCTGTTCTTCTAAAGAATATGTAGATAGATCCGACTGAGCAATTTGAAAATCTGTCGTGAAACACGGGATGTTTTATTTCTCCAACAACCAGTGAAAGTGTCATCCATTGATTAATAAACTACTGACTGTAAATAATCTAAATAAAACATGCCAAAAAATAAAACATGGAAATCAGCATAATAACTGCTGAGGAACATCTGTCTGGCCTACAGGGTTGAGCCAGCAAAAGACAAGACAGCAGAAAATGTCTCTCACTGACTCAAGCTATACCTGAGCAGCAGTGGAAGAAAACACAAGGAAAAAAAACAGAAATAGAAATACAACGCGAGTGTTTTTGTTTAACATAATGGAAGAGTCGTTGAAGTGACAAGGAAACAGTAAACGGCTAATAGCAAACATGCATCTCCAGAAATATGATTCATGGCATGTCACGAATTTATCAAATCATCATTTAGCCTGGAGAAATAGTTTGCTGCTTTATAAGAAAGCTGTCCGGAAAGCCAGAACATCTTACTATTCATCACTGATTGAAGAAAATAAGAACAACCCCAGGTTTCTCTTCAGCTCTGTAGCCAGGCTGACAAACAGTCAGACCTCTGTTGAGCCAACCATCCCTTTAACGTTAACTGGTAATGACTTCATTTAATAACTTAATATTCACTTAGACTCTTTTTCTCTAATTGATCTTTCTGAGTTAACTTCAATAATTACTTCCTCCAAACCATCAACGTGTCTTTTAGACCCCATTCCTACAAAACTGCTCAAAGAAGTCCTGCCATTAATTAATTCTTCGATCTTAAATATGATCAACCTATCTCTAATGATCAGCTATGTACCACAGGCCTTCAAGCTGGCTGTAGTTAAACCTTTACTCAAAAAGCATCTCTAGACCCAGCAGTCTTAGCTAATTATAGGCCAATCTCCAACCTTCCTTTATATCAAACATCCTTGAAAGAGTAGTTGTCAAACAGCTAACAGATCATCTGCAGAGGTTTATTTGAAGAGTTTCAGTCAGGTTTCAGAGCTCATCACAGCACAGAAACAGCTTTAGTGAAGGTTACAAATGATCTTCTTATGGCCTCTGACAGTGGACTCATCTCTGTGCTTGTCCTGCTAGACCTCAGTGCAGCGTTCGATACTGTCGACCATAATATCCTATTAGAGCGATTAGAACATGCTGTAGGTATTACAGGTACTGTGCTGCAGTGGTTTGTATCATATCTATCTAATAGACTCCAGTTTGTGCATGTAAATGGAGAGTCCTCTTCACACACTGAGGTTAATTATGGAGTTCCACAGGGTTCAGTGCTAGGACCAATTCTCTTTACATTATACATGCTTCCCTTAGGCAGCATCATTAGAAGACATAGCATACATTTACACTGCTATGCAGATGACACCCAGCTCTATCTGTCCATGAAGCCAGATAACACACACCAATTAGTTAAACTGCAGGAATGTCTTAAAGACATAAAGACCTGGATGGCCGCTAACTTTCTGCTTCTTCATTCAGATCAAACTGAGGTTATTGTACTCGGCCCTGAAAAGCTTAGAAATATGGTATCTAAGCAGATTCTTACTCTGGATGGCATTACCTTGGCCTCCAGTAACACTGTGAGGAACCTTGGAGTCATTTTTGACCAGGACATGTCCTTCAACGCACATATTAAACAAATATGTAAGACTGCTTTCTTCCATTTGTGCAACATCTCTAAAGTTAGAAATATCCTGTCTCAGAGTGACGCTGAAAAACTAGTTCATGCATTTATTACTTCCAGGCTGGACGACTGTAATTCATTATTATCAGGATGTCCTAAAAACTCACTGAAAAGCCTTCAGCTGATCCAAAATGCTGCAGCAAGAGTCCTGACAGGGACTAGAAAGAGAGAGCAGATTTCTCCTGTTTTGGCTTCCTGTTAAATCCAGAATTCAAAATCCTGCTCCTCACATACAAGGTCTTAAATAATCAGGCCCCATCTTATCTTAATGACCTTGTAGTACCATATCACCCTATTAGAGCACTTCGCTCTCGCTCTGCAGGCCTACTTGTTGTTCCTAGAGTATTTAAAAGTAGAATGGGAGGCAGAGCCTTCAGTGATTCTCACGTATTGGGTTCTGTCACTTCTGCAGCTGGTCCGTCACATTATTGCCACCCCAAAAACACTTCCTCTGTCAATTAAGAGTTGATTTCTTTTCTACTTTCACTTTGTTCTATTAAAATTCATTTGTGTTTCATTCAACTGCTGTTATGTTTTGTTTTGTTTTTACTTGCAGTGTTTGACCTTATAGGCCTCCTTATATTTTACTGCAACACACAAACCTCTGTTTTTTTGTTTTCTGTTTTTCTCCTACACAAGCAGGTGTTCAAAGTTAGCAGTCAATATTAATCTACTAGTAATAGATATGACGTCTTCATGTTACCTAGCAACCATCTACCAATCTAACGAAATCTTATGAAAGATTTGCTGAATTTATATTCACAATAATAACATGTAATTTAGCAAATACTGAATATATGGACTTTGATATCTTTGATATCTCCCAATCGTGTTGTCAGTAGTGTCAATATTCCATCATTTCACACATTAACAGCAGAATTTTCTGCAATAACAAACTGAATGAATGAAAAGTTTACATTTTATATTATTGTTTCTCTTTGCACACATTATTTGTTACATATTTGGTAAGGATATTATGGCGTCTGCTAATTGATATTACTGTTCTATAAATGTGCCGTGTATGAGTGTTCAGGTACCGTTTGTTCCTGCGTAGCTGCGGTTGAAGCCTTTGTCGTTGATGAGATCGACAGATGTAGCCCTGGTGCCATGAAAAAGAAGCTTTTCGTTGTTTTTATGTTTATTCTTTGCCTCCATTTGCTTCTTCAGGATCTGGTAGTTCTGCCACAGTGTTGGATTTTGGACCCGTTCAATCTGCCAACACAATCCAAACACATTATTACTTCTCATAGTTCTTACCTTCTTACCTCTGCTTATTTTGTCTAATGATGTGTGTATATAGATATTTATCTTTTTTGCTCAATCATGAAAACATTTCTTCCTTACTCCTTTTTACTAGCAGAAACCTCCACCTGGCTCTCTTTGTACATAGATGAACTTTGAAAGATTTCATCCATATGAAAGAGGTGTGCTGAGGCTGGCTCCAGCAGTTTCAGTCCCCATAGATTCCCATTTTAAATGTCCAAACTTTATAGCACAAATACATACGTTATGGTTATGTTTTGGTCTCTATAGATAATCACTGCCTTCATACCAACTTTGGGGATGAGGAGGAACTTTTATATAACTTACTTGTTTGATTTATGTGTGTGCTGTTGGAGCCTTTTGGAGCATTGTCCTATTATCTCACAAATAATATGGCTGAAGTTCTGTTAATTATTCTAACAGAGCTCCAGTTTTGGGCCACAGTGAAATTATAGGATTTCACTGTGGACTTAATGATTCCCATGATGCATTGAGTTTTTCCTTTCCAGTCATCTTTCTCACTCAACATGTGTTAACAGACCTCTCTGCACTGAATCATACTTGTTATTAATCCAGTTATAAATGGTGAAGCTAAAACCAAAGCTTTAACCTCACACCAGTGGGTGATTCCATGGTGACTTCATCCATCTTTTATGTACAGCATATGTAAAACATTCGTTTACTATGGAGACTTTTACTAGTCAATTTTTTTAACCGTCACAGTCATACAGTCTGCTCCGTGTATTTGTGACTGAACATACACTGATGATGTTAACATGAAGTCGATTCTTTGTCAGTTCCTGCTCCACGTTGTCGTATTCCTGAGCTCCTGGAGTCAGAGCAAACAACTTCACAAGGTCTCCTTTCATGTCCTCCCAGCAAGAAGGCAGAGCACTGTCATCTGTAAAAATCATTGGAAGAGCTCAGTTTAAACTAACAGTGCATATATACAACATGCTGTGATTAGAGTTTCAGTGGAAGATGTAAAATGCGGTGGCTACAGACTGATCACCTCTTCTGTTTTTCAGCTTATTTTTTATATTATTATTATAATTTTTTGTATTTTAACATTTTAAGGGAAGAAGTCAGAACTCACCGCTTAGTGTTCATTTAACCTGTTGCATTTTTCTGAGGTAAAACCTCCATAAAAGACAAAGTGCCTAGATGACTCACCCTTCACCTCTTTCCGAAAGAGCTCCATAGGAGGCCTCTTTGCTGTAACTGCTTTTCTAAGTCCTGGATCAGCGGTGTACGTTTCATTGTTGATCTTGGTCTTCACCTTTTGTTTCTTCTCTAGCGCCTCCTCCAGTTTGAGGTTGGTGTAAATATCAAACGGCACCATTGAGCCACTGCGGTCTGGATACTGCCACTCTACCAGGCTGCTCACTAACAAAGCCTGTCTCTTTGAGTTCTCCGCCCTCTCCACTTTCCGGATGATGTCCCTGATGGTCATCAAATAGAAAAAGCAGTTAGGACTTTGCACTGAACATTCTTGAAATACATTTACGTCTCTGTTTGCTGACCTGAGTGCAGACTCAGCAGTGAACACGTCTCTGGTCAGACCCTCCAGGTGGATCTCGGGGTCCTGGTCCTCTGCTCCTTTGTCCAGACGGATGCTGACCGTCAGTTTCCTCTGCAGAGCCTTCAGCTCCTCCATGTCAGCCTGTGACAGCTGACTAATGAACGGGTCAGAGATGGTTTTCTGTGCCTGCTCAGCAACAATCAGGTCATTAATCCTCTTCTTGGCCTCACTCAAAGCCTGCAGGGTTGGAGAAATCGTGGTACATTTTAGTTACAGGTATCGATACATTTTCTTAAACTCACAGAAATAGATTTATTCAGTGTTCTGGAACCATTTAATGTGCATCAGTCTGTCCAGTAATTCTACACAGGCTCTCTGACAGCAGCCAGATTTGTCTGTGAGCAATGTCGTTCCAGTCTGTAGAGAGAATTTATTTATTTAAGTTCAGCTTGACACATGTCTAAAACTACACATAACACCTCTCTCGCTCACTCACAAAACTTTAAGTATGTGTGGACGAATCACCTGTTATGCACAGATCACGTTGAGTTTGGCTTGTAGCTGCTAACCAGCTGTCTGGTCTGGGTCAACTTATAGCAAAGTGGAGAGAGGCGTCGGAAAGTTGCACCAGCAGAACATTATTCCTCTGGAGGCGGTAAACACAGTGATCAGCTGAATCCTAACATTTCGCTCACAGCTGGGCCTGTTCGACTCTCTTTTGGCTGCAGCAGCTGCTACTATAAGCATACTTTTCTTCTTCTCACTCGCTGTAAACTTCGTACTGCAGATGTTACTCTCACTCGCACACACACTGCAGAGAGAGAGGCGGTCCCTGTCTTCGCCACAACATTCAACCGCTGGCACAGAATACATTACCCATCAGGTTAGCTACTTAAAGGGAAGGTTATGCCTGAAACATTTAACATTTTCTTAGGTTTATTTTTTCACCAAAGCTTGTGGGAGCTACAGCTGAGGGGAGCCGTCTTCTGTTTTAGACCACACAGGCTTTGATTTGTTTTGTTCTCTGATTAGCACAAAGATTTGCAGTTTGACTTTGGGCACGTTGCTCGATCCAGATTGCCTTGCTACAATAGGCAGGATATGTTTGATTGTTTGCTTGTTTTCCATCCATCCATGTGTGTGCAAAAAATTAAATATTGTTGGAATAAAAAATAAATGAATAAATGCGTACCTTGTTGTCGTCGGCACACAGCTGAAACACTGTGGGCTCAAACTCTTCCCTCTCCAGAACTAAGTCAACAGAGCTGGACTGAGCCGACCCGGATACCAGACCTGACATGAACTGGCGGACTGATGCTGAAACAATAATAATATCCAACGTGAATCCATCTGACAACATTTTATGTTATGATCAGAAGTTTCCAAACACTCATTGTGAGCATGAATGTCAGGGTAATTCTGGCCTTTTAATGATTTCTTTCTTTCAATTTAGTGATGATCATTTTCAAACCAATACACTGAATTTTAACTTGGGCTCATTCAAATTCAGTTTTAAAAAGGATTCAAATTCGAATTTAACTCATTCAAATTCAAGTTCTGCCCGTACTAAAACCCCAATTACAAAAAACATAGAAAACAGATCCTTACACAAAGACATTTTACAGTTTCATTAACATTATTACTGCTTTTTTAAAAGAACACTGCCTATCAAATGCACCATTGCCTTCACCACAATGACCAGGAGGGAAATTAAAAAACATGTTAAAAACACATCAAGAGAGACTTGCATCTTTAGGATCAAACCACAGAGATGTTCAGATAGTTCAAGTTATTCTGAAATGCCTTTTTGATTTTGGTCAATAAAAGAGCAAACATTGTCTTTTAGGAGAAATTTACTGGTACTTTTTAAGCCACCATGATCAAAATGAAATGGATAAGTAAACAATTTCCCATCTACAGTTGGGTTTCCCTACCAAACAACAGCGACGTACCTTTGATTTTGCTAAACACAGTCTTCTCTTCCACCGTCTCTCCCTGTCTCTTCTTCATGCTCGTGTGGAAATGGTTCAACATGGCCGTCTGGAAGATCAGGATCTTCACACTCTGAACAAACCTCGGCTGTTTCCTCACAAACTCCACCACTGCATCGACCATGGCTTTAGCCACTGCTGATGGGTGGGCCCCTCCCTGACCTGACAGGTAGACAAGGATGATGATGGTGATGATGAAAGGATGGAAAGAGGATGAAAAGTACAGTTTGTGAAACTCAACAGAGCAACAATCTCACATCTGGCTGCAACATTCATTACAGCTCGAAGATGAAAGAGTTGGACAAAACCAACAAACTGATGGTTTTGGTGTAATCTAAGATCTCAAAGACTCTGTAGAAGGGATCTGGTTAGTTGGTGTGTTTCAGCTTAATATTAATTTGGTGTGACACAAACTCTGATCGGACCTTTGTCACAGTTCCTCATGCAGTAATGACCTCTGCACACTGCTGCACAGCAAATCAGTGAATACCATAAATAATATGTACAGACCTGTTCCCAGGGCAGGGAAGGCCACAGAGCTGAACTTGTTCTCCTCGCAGAACTTCAGCACTGAGTAAACCATGTTTTTAATGTTTGCAGGGTCGTTCTGGCCGATGATGTGGACGATGTTCCTGCTGGGCAGCTGCCCGGCTGATGTCAGGATCATTGCATGAGGCTGAGCCGTGGAAGTCACTGCAGGGAGGAAGCACATGAGGCTTATAACACAGTGTGGCAGAATTGGTATTTTCCAGTCCAAAGCGTTACACGTTTGAAATATTTTAAAAAGTATTCCAATCTGATCCATAACTTTGAAATTCTATTTTTCACATCGGAACCTGAAATTTGGTAAAAGGTAGTAACAGCAAGGTAGTGACTTTACAGTAAAGATATTGATCGATATTGATTGTTAGTCTAAGCGATGGGCCAAACACAGCTGGACAGGGCTGTAGAAGTGCATCAACCCAGTAACAGGACTGGTATATGCGCCTTTGTGTGAGGAAGAAGAGGAGCACTGTCAAAATCCTACAAAATGACCTCCTGCAGGCTACTTGCACATGTTTCTGTGTGAGTAGCTGTGCAAACTGTGGAAACGTTTCAGTAAATGCAAAATTGCAAAGTGTTTAAGTGTCTTATCATCTACAGTACATAATATCACCAAAAGATTCAGAGACTCTGGATAAATCTCTGTATACAAGGGACAAGGATGAAAACTGAAAAAACATATATCGATCATGAGTTTCAGTATTTAGTTGCAAAGAACCAGATGCAAAATTTAATGCTTTAATTGATTAAATAACTCACTCCATAAACTTCATCCATCCATCCTCTACCGCTTATACTTTTCAGGGGCGCGGAAGGTGCTGGAGCCTATCCCAGCTGTCATAGGGCGAGAGGCGGGTACACCCTGGACAGGTCGCCAGTCTGTCGCAGGGCTAACACACAGGGACAGACAACCATTCACGCCTATGGGCAATTTAGATGAATCAATTAACCCCACTAACTGCATGCCTTTGGACTGTGGGAGGGGGCCGGAGTACCCAGGAGGAACCCACGCAAACACGGGGAGAACATGCAAACTCCACACAGCAAGACTCGGCCTGATGGTGGAATCGAACTCAGGACCTTCTTGCTGTGCGGCAACAGTGCTAACCACCGTGCACAAACTCCACCATACCTGAAGTCATTTTAAAAATAAATAAAAAATGGCTTACTCAGGTATTAAAATTTAGTTTAAAAAAGAACATACTTTATAAATGTTATATTAAAACTCAGTGATGGAAACAAAGAATTATATATAAAATACAGAAATAAGGTGACACTAAGTGTAAGTCAATAGAAACATACAAACCTGTGCTTCCTCTGTGGGATTATAATATTATCTAATGCCATGTTAGACCCCTAATTAAAGATTGTGAAACTATTATGTAGTTTTAGTTTGCAGGATTCTCCTGAATTAGAAGAAGGTGAAAACTATTACAGTTATTAAACTGATTTGTATTACATTAGACTGCTGATTGAATGAATGATATTGTTTATGATGCATTATACTGCTGAGTTATAGGAAATACTGTTTTCAGAGAGTCAGGACTTTGCTGACTTTGCTTTTTCTGATAGTGGAGGAGACAGAGAGCACATCACCCCCACCCCAGGCAGACAAAATAGGGAGCCAAGGCCATAAGTCAGGCTCGCTGGGAGTTAGAGAGAATGTGAATGTTTAGGTTTTTACGACTAGGTGGGGGCCACTAGAGGCTAGGAGAGTTTGAGTAACCCTCCACCAGTTTGAGACTTGCTGTGACCCTCTTCATGCATGGCTCCCCATCCGGATGGTTTGTGCTCATAAAGTGTTGAATTGTATGGAATAAAAGATTGTTGATTGAGCATTTATACACCGAGTAGTGTCCTTCCTTCAGCCCAAAGATCGAAAGAATTGGGAGGATTTAACACCTAAAAACAGTTGAGCAAGAAATTGTGCCAGAATTTATTAAATGATGAAAATCTTGCAAATAGTTTTGACCAGTTTATCTCCAAAGGAGACAACCTTCCTTGGGCTATTACTCCTCCCGAGTGCCAATATAAACTGCATTTACAAGGCCATGCTCTTTTTTCAGCTGCTCCCTTTAGAGGTCCTCTACCTGCTCTCTACTCTCACTACAGAGCACAGTGTCTGCAAACATCACATATCATTTTCTTAATGATATCAGTAAACTTCTCCATTCTTCAGGTGTCCTCTCATATGTCAAACAGTCTCCTAAAAATGTCTCTCTGTCCTAGACCTCTCCATACCTGCCATCTGTACCAATCACCTTTCCAGTCTTTATTCTCTTCATAGCTGGCATCACTTCCTTACTAATTGCCTGCACTTCCTTATTCACTAACTGCTCTTCATCCTACCCTCCTTTCTCTCTCATTTTTTACAAGTTAATTATTTAACTTGGATATCTGTGAAAAAAGAAATTAAAGATGCTGATCATAGAGGTGGAATCTTAACAAAAGAATTTGATGCGATTAATTTCAAAATCCATCAGAGAGACAGCACTCGTTTGTAAGTTATATGCACATTTATAAATAAATGCTATAAAATCAACATTAGTAAAACTATTACATTTGTGATCTCAAAGTGATCAATATTAGGACGACGTCTTTTCCTTTCATATTTCAGTGATTCGGTGTCTATTCCTCTAGAATTTTGTAATGTTTGCTGAAATTGGAAACGTATTGAACATGTCTGTATCCTGATAAATGGTCCAGTTATTGAAAGTTGAAAGTAAAATTCAATAATTTATTAAAGGTTTAAATTGGTAAATATCTGACCTTTACGAGGCATCTTGAAGAATTAATAAAGACATTAAATATGTTAGCTCATTTTTTCCATTCCTTTAATGTGAAGCTCTACTTACCTTGTACCAGTCTTTGTTTGAGCCTTATTTTTATGATTGTAATCTTATATGGTACAAAGCGTCTCCTACTTATCTCAACAGATTACAGACTTTACATAAAGCAGGTATACGAGCCATGACACAGTCCACAGAAGATGCTCTGATCCTACAAACTTCTGACGTTAACTGTAACACTTTCATAATGTCTGTGTTATGTGTAACGTGGCATTAAGACCGAACAGCAGACTTACTCACAACACGAAGGAAAGATAATTTTTGAGTGGAAAGAAATGCAAACGTAAATGTACGAGTTTGTGTTAAGACAAGTAAGAGCTTCGAAACACTTTATAAATGTTAACCACTGTCATCAACCACTATCTTTAACAGGAATTTAATAAACTGCTACTAAAATATGTTTGATTCTGAACCCTGTATAGTAAATATAGCTTTGAACTTTAAACATAGCGCAATATTAAAGTTCATACTTAAATTCACACAACTATTTTCGTGTACGACTGTCTACATCCATTGGATTTGTATTATTTATTTAGTGATTTAGGTTGGCATTGTACGTACAGTGTATGTTGGGAATGATGTATTTCCTGTATATCATCTGATATCTAGGATTCTGTTTATGAGCTCTGGACAGTTTTCAGGGAACCTATTTCACAAATAACTACTTTACGTTTGATTTCTGAATAAACTGAAACAGACTTCAGGGTTTTGAAATTAATAAATTTTCAGTTTTAACTGCCTGGTGATGCTGAAAAGGGAGTCAAGTGTGCCGTTCCATGTAGAATAGAATAGAGTAGAATCGCCCTTCATCATCAGTGTACATGTACAACAAAATTGTAGGCACACACCAAACTGCGCACACTCTCGCTCAACTGTTATTCCAGCGCCGTCCAAGATCGCCTTTGACACTCCTGAGAAAAGATAAGAGGAGAGCAGTAAGTCAGACGGTACATTGACTTTGTACAGTTAAATACAGTCTTTGTGTTTTTAGCACTCAGAAACACTCACCTGCTTTAAGGTTAAAGGTCTGATTGGACGAGTTGACAATGACATCACAGGTCTCTTTGGTGATGTCACCTGACGACACCTCTAAAGCGAGCTGACCCATCTGCATCTGGTACACACCGAGGGAGGTGGACAAAACTGGGCCAAAAGTGGCTGAAACAAGCACACGCAGACTTTCAGTGGATGATTTTAGACCTGCGATTTTATCTGGAGGCTCGAAATAACACCAGTGACTAAGATCCTTATCTGTAAATAATGAGGCCTTTTCTGATCACTAATTAAATAGCTCAGCTGATTTGTCTTAAATGTGTTAAAACAAGAATTTTCAACTGAATAGAATTGATGGGGTTTAGTGGTTAGAAATAATTTTCCCCTCTTCTGCCTCATACCACTGGCCATCTGAGTCCGGCTCATAATGTTTTTAACATAAAGCTAAAAAGCGACACCTGTTGCACAACCTTAACCCATCGTCTATTTACATCATAAAGACACGAGTTGTTACTGATGGTCGTATCAGGCTGTTCTTATAAAACTGTGACTGCCATCATGTTTCTATGACCTAACTAAACTCTATTAAATCATCATATAGTGGTTTAATATTAAATAATCACTCATTGTAAAGTTTAAAAGGACTTCTTACCTGAGGAGTGTTGTGATTGGCTGACAGGCTGTTGAACTGGTGGCTCATTAAAATCATGCCGTTCACGCTGGACGTTCCTCTGACCGGTGAACTCTCTGGTGAAACACTGACCAACAACAATATAACTTAGATGTTACTGCTATAACTGCAGCTCAATGAATTGATAAGTTAACAGTTAGACTTATGTTCACACATTACATCATTTTAAACCTCACAGCAGTTGTAATTAGATTTTAAGACAACAAAATTCTAAAAGTAACTATTTGATATAGTCTGGTTTTGTCTGTTTCTAGTTCTTATTGCTTCCTGTTGCTATATTTGCAGGCTGAGTTAATTAAACCTTCTCATCCTTCTCGTACCCGTTTCATGTGATAAACAGTATGTACTGTGTGTTACTCTGTGCTTTCACTCACTAACAGGGTGGGTTTGCTCGTCTCTAGTGGTCACTGTCAGAACATGATAAGCACTTAAACAGCTCCTATCAGAGTCACAAACTCACATCCACGGTTTGGCTGTCACTGGGGTGAACGACGATGACCACCTCTCTCAGACAGCGAGGGTTTCTGCTGCTGCTGTACGAGCGGATCTCCCTCAGCAGGAGTTTGGACACCAGGGCTCTGGGGAAGCTCAGGTGTCCTGTCCCGATGGCTGGGAAGGACAACGATGCCATCTGACGTTTCTCAGCCTCCACGAGACAGTATCTGATGATGGACGTTAACTCCTGACAAACAGAGATAAGACAAAGTGAAGCTGGACTTTAGTGACGGGTTATAAACAGTACAGTGCATATGTTGTTGTTTTTTTTAAGAATTTTAATCACTTCAAGATCTTGGAGAACATGTTTCCATCACATGCTACCGTGGCTGAATTTACTTTTTGGTGCCACTAGGTGCCGCTAAAGCATCTAAAACGCTCTAATCAAAGTGCTGCATATTCTCTAAAATTTCTCTAATTGAGTGTGTTTAACTTAACAATTTAAACTAAAACAAAACTTAGGACATGGCTTCATAACAAGCTTAATATGCTACATTACCATAAAAATTGTATCAAACACACTATGAATGTGGAGGAGAAGAGGATCGTGGTGCTGTGGTGATCTGAGGCCTTCATATAGACGACCTCTCCTGTAACTATCTGCCGTTCAGCTTCTCTATATTCTGTCTGAAGTACTGTGACTGTTTTCTGTCTCGATGTTTGTTATTTGTCCAAAAAGGTCCCGGCCTTATTTTTTTAATATTCAATTAAAAAGAAATATTTCTTCTGAATCATGTAAGTGAGCCTCACGGTTCAGAGGTTCCTTTGACTTTTCTTTGTTTAAAGAGCAGGGCCTCCTCCTGAAGTTGCCTGTGTGGGCGTGTCCTACCAGCTCTCCTGCCTTAGGTGCCACCTTTTTCTTTTGTACAGCATCAGCAATTACAGGTATTTAAGCCCAGGGAAAGGTGAGCTCTGGGCCAGAGAGCCATGTTGGTGGTTGCAGCTAGTGATGGTGAGATGAAGCCTCGTGATGAACTGAAGCTTTCCATCCAACTGGTCGACTCATGGTTTGAAGCATTGTGGTGATTCCTTTGTTCTACTGCACCATCAAGTGAACGATTCAAGTGAAACAGGCTCTGTGATTATAATGATGTGACGTGTAAACCTCTAAACTGAATAAGTAAATTGTTTTCATGGTTATTTATCCCGAATATTGTCTCAGTATGTCTGATACAAACGAGAAAGTGGAAACTATCAGGACAGACATGATTGTGTAACTGTGTAATCATGCTTATGTACATCTGGATAATGACACAAACTAGTGTGTGACGCTTCACTTTTTAATAAACTAAAAGACAGAAATCAGATTATAGGATCTGTAGTGTTGTTTATTTATTTATCTCATGGTGCTTATCATTCGTGACATTTATGACTGTGTGCATGCTTTATTAGGAGAGATGAGATTAAAAAAAAATCTCTTCTTGCTGGTTCCATCGAAGAAGAAATGCTCAAGTAACTATGTAGCACGTACGTTATCCAATTCCACAACACAATGTAATGGGGAAATCAGCTGTTTTGCTGCCCATTTTATTTCGAATCTGGCGCAAACCGGCGAGCCAGTTCCTGAATCAGTCACATGGTACGGACTGCCCGCGAGGCCTCGAACGTCACTGCATGCGTAATCAAAGCGAGCCTCGATACGCACTTCACAAAAACTCCCCCGAGATTACCGACACATGATTCGAAGCTTCGACACACAGAACACATCACTATATGCGGCTAGTGAGCTGTATGTTGTGATTGCTTGCTCCTGCTCAGTGGAGAGTGTGTTTGGTTACTAATGTCTGTTTGACTTACTTTTCAGTTTACTGACCGATGCTTGAGTTTTGTTTTGTTTCTTTAAATGGTGATAGCAGCTTGTCCGTCTCTTTTAGTTGAGCTATCAATAGAAACTTTAATAAAACTCTTTAATTTAACACTTTTAAATTAAAGAGTACTTTTTGTTACTTCCCCCCTTCACCGCCTGGACCCTTTTAGGGGAACGTAACACCTTTAAATATCATCTCCCTGCTTAATCGTATCTACACCCATCTGGACCACAATATGTACGTCTCCCACAGTGTGTGTCTGACAAGGTGATCAGCAACACAGGGGCACCACAGGGGACTGTCCTCTCCCCCTTCCTCTTCACCCTCTACACCACAGACTTCAGCCACTGCACAGAGACCTGCCATCTTCAGAAGTTTTCTGATGACTCTGCGGTGGTTGGATGCATCAGCAGGGATGATGAGACAGAGTACCGGGCTGTGGTCGACTCCTTTGTCACGTGGTGTGAGCAGAATCCTCTGCAGCTCAACGTGGCAAAGACCAAGGAATTGATCGTGGACTTCAGGAAGACCAGGAAACACTTGACCCCTGTTTCAATCCAGGGGTCAGTGTTGACATTGTGGAGGACTATAAATACCTTGGAGTACACATTGACAATAAACTGGACTGGGCTAAAAACACCACAGCACTTTACAGGAAGGGCCAGAGTCGTCTCTATTTTTTGAGGCGACTGAGGTCCTTCAACATCTGCCAGAAAATGCTGAGGATTTTCTATGAGTCTGTTGTGGCCAGTGCGATCCTCTATGCTGTTGCATGCTGGGGGAGCAGGCTGAGGGTCGCAGATGCCAACAGACTTAATAAACTGATCCGTAAGGCCAGCAATGTTGTGGGGATGGAGCTGGACTCCCTCAAGGTGGTGTCGGAGAGGCGGATGCTGTCCAAGATAAAGACAATGTTGGATAACACCTCCCACCCACTCCATGACATGTTGGTCAGTCACAGGAGCTCGTTCAGTGAGAGACTGAGATTACCCATGATGCACCACTGAACGACACAGGAAATCATTCCTGCCTGTGGCTCCCTGTACAACGCATCCACCTAACACACTGGTTACTGCAACAGCTACACCCTTTTTGCACACGCTCTCCTCTTATTCAGCCATTTATCAATATGTGATTTTATATATACATAAACAGCCTCACCTCCTCTGCCTGGCCGCCTCCGTTGTCCCAGGATGGACAAACAGCATGAAAGACTTTGTGACATGTGAGGTTGTAGCCGTCAGTGATGATGACTTCCCCGTGCCACAGTGTGTCCCTTCTGGCTTCAGAGTAGATGGCGTCCTGCAGACTCCCTCCAGCCGCTGACAGGATGGCTTTGGACACAGCTCCCTGCCTCAGATTCAAGTCCTGTGAGATGGTGTTGACGATGACGTCAGTCTGTGGAACAAAAGCAAAATGGCACAAAGTTTAAGCTTGAACAATCAACGGTTCACGCAAAAATACAAAAACATTTTATGATTTTCATTTTTAAAACCAAATGGCCGAGGAACTAAATGTCTGCACAGTGTGGCAGACGATACCAAACTGGTTACAGCAAAGCAGGCGTCTGCTTAGGTTGGCCAAATTAGATTTTTGTAAAATACCAAAGTTAAAACAACAAATACCAACCCTGAGCCAAATATTCAGCCCCACAATAAAAGTTTTTCCTTTGATAATTCACATTAAATGATAACAAGGAAATTATTTTTGGATTTTATTGCATTATAACCACTTTGAAAATATGCTTCAGAAGACATTAAACTCCAGAAAACCAGAATCATTCATGATTCCAAACATTTTTTACAAATAAATAACTGAAAAGTGTGCGTGATTATTTGTGATTATTCAGCCCCCTTTGGAATCATGTATGATTTTCGTTCCACTTCTCACGTGTGCACCACTTTGTGTTGATCTTTCACGTGGAATTCCAATAAAATTGATTCATGTTTGTGGCTGTAATGTGACAAAATGTGGGAAAGTTCGAGGGGGTCGAATACTTTTGCAACCACTGTACATCACGTAATTGAGAAATTAGAATATTGTGTTCTACGGTGTCAAAAGCAGCAGCTAGGTCAAGCAAGACAAGAACAACATGGTTACCAGAATCACATGCCAGAAGGTTGTCATTAAAAACCCTTAATAATGCAGATTCTGTGCTATAAATGTCATGCTCCCTGTGCCTCCCCGGCCAGCCCAGTGTGGCCACAAGTGTTTGTTCTTTTCTCTCTCTCTCTCTCCTACCTGTCTGCCTGGGCGGAGCTCTGATTGGGCTTCCACCCTTGGCCCACGCACCTGCAGCTGATCTCGAGTGAATTGCAGTCGACCTCTGGCTCTTCTTAAGGCTGGGGCTCTGAGCTATTTGTCGCTGGAATATTGAGTGACCCTCGTCAGTATTGCCTGGCTTCTTTGTGAATTAGTTGTTCCCGTACTTGCTGCCGTCTTACCCTCGTCTATGTTTATAGGTTTATCTGGACCCGCCCATTTTGATTCCTGGACCCCGTGAGTGTGAGTGGGTGTGAGGAGTGTTTGGACAAGGAGCGGAGCAAGTGTGAAGACGTGTGTTTCCCCCCTATTGACCCCCGGGACTAGGGATGGGTATCGTTTAGGTTTTATCCGATACCGGTGCCAAACCGGTACTTTTGAAACGGTGCCGGTGCTCAAACGGTGCTCAAACTTTGTCCAAAAACCTCTCATGTTTAACTGTTTTCCACTTTTTCTTTGGTCATTTTAGCCTTTTTGGCCAGGGTGAAGGGAGTATCTGCAATCAAACAAGAAGACAGCCGCATGTAGCTATGATGATGTTTGCTTGTTCACCTTACATGCATTAATGTAATAACGTGGTTAGCCTACTCAACGTAAATTACACACGAACAACATTAAGCTCCTCACGCAGAGAAGAACGGCTGCTGCTGCATCATCATCCTCATCATTTCTGCTACACTGGCAGGGCTAGGGGCCAGGACTCTCCTCTTCGGGTTTTTGGGGGATGTTGCATAACAGGCAACCCACCCGCAGTAGATGCGCTCGGTGTGAGGTCTCGCAGCAAGCTATCAAATACGGCGCATTTCTGGGCTTTAAAAAAAAACGCTATGCGTCGCCAGGTGTTTCATCGGATTCTTGGTGTTACCTCCTTTGACAGTATCACAGTATCAGCTTAAAGCACTTGTTGCTGCTGAGTTTGCATCTTTTGCTGTGAAGTACAGCCAGACTTTGACCGCTTCGCCTTGGACATTTTTAATCTGTAGCTCTGCTCTAAAAGAACGTACGTACCCGGACCCGCCTACTATCCTCGGAAACGTAAAATTATTGGCTAGAATTTAAAGTGTATCACATCTCAGGAATAAAAAACAACGAAATAAATCACCGAAATGTGCGCTGCTTTTCGGTCTGGTTACTACCGTTTATGTCAGAACCGGTACCCATCCCTACCTGGGACCCTGGTGTCTCCCCCCCACCCCTTCACGTGTACATAGCGCACCAGAGTGATTAATAAAGTGTTGTTGAACCGTGCTACCTCAGTCTGCGCCTGAGTCCGTTCCACCACCGTGACAATGAAGGCTTTTAAAACCTGACTGAAAAACCTCAAAGACGCCATTATAAACTAGAAAATCTTTCAGCTGACTAAAAACAATTTGTGGAGGAAAAGGATCCCGAGGGGAACATGTGGGCTTTATGTGGCGAACCACATCCTCTAAAGTGGAGAGCGTCACAAGTTCAAACTGAGTGAAAACAGCAGTGCAAGGGGCAGAGACAGAGGGTCAGAGTCAGGAGCTGTGATAAGAGCCCTGGTGGTGACAACCTTTTCAATAAAAAAGTTCAGAAAATTATTGGAAATATTAGGAGAAACTTCCAAACAGACATTCAACGGAGTATTAAGAACAGTGTCAAAGGTCCTAAATAACACACGTGGGTTATTTAGGCTGAAACTAAACCATAATCTCTGTTACTGTGACACACAGAGGGCTGACACCAAACTGTGAATGTAAATAGTGATCTGTTAGATGTGCTGATCCTGTGTTTTCAGTGTCATAATTCTCTCTCTCTCTTTTTTTTTTGGCTGTTGTATCAGTAACTCGTAAAGATAGTACTGAATATTTTATTTATGGGTATCAGAGTAAAGGTAAATATAAATGCACGCCACACTTTTCAGATTTCTATTCGTAAAAACACCAGGTATAAACACTTCACAATTATGTGCTACTTTGATTGACCAATCTCACAAAAATAGAAATAAAATACATTTATGTTTGGGGCTGAAATGTGACAAAATGTGGAAAAGTTGTGAAGAGTTGTGAATACATTTTCAAGGCACTGTGTTTATCCTAGTAATCTGCAAAGTTTGAGAAGTAAAGACTAATAAAAAGACGTGTGATAAGCAAAGGAATGTGAGTGGTCAGATAGGGGTCAACAGAGAGTGATCAACAAAGGACAAAACTATAAAGATTTTCTACAAATTGTAATAATCTAGAATTCACCTTTAATCTTGGTTTTTATGTGTATGTGATCTAATTCTATGTTCTCATGTTGTAATTAGCTCTAAACCAGCAGTTTACAGAATCCTCTCAATAATGAGCCAAACTGCACCAAAGGTACTCACAGTCTGGTCCTGAATGTTTCCCCTGCATAGAATGATCTTCAGCCCCTCAGCTGTGGTCTGCTCCAACCTACACCCAATCAGATAACAGCACTGATGACATCACACTATGGCAGAGTTTTATACAACCAAAGAAAAGAAGATGAGGAACCTTACCCTCCGTGCTCTCCGTGGCTGGTGTGTTGCTTGGGACTTTGGCCTCCCCTGTTACCCTGATGATTTCCCCAAGATTCACCTCCTCCTCCTCTTCCTCCTCCTCTTCCTCCTCTTCTTCCTCCTCCTCTTCCTCCTCCTCTTCCTCCTCCTCTTCCTTCTGTTTCAGACCAGCTGGCACCATGTGACTGGCTCTGACCTCGTTTGCCTTGACCTTGGTGATATCCACTGAGAAACAATTTTAAAATATTTAAGTTCACTTTGTTTTAATAAAAAAATAATCAACTTACATGCTGCATGTAAGTTTCTTTGCAAGCACAAACCCTGTGTCAACTATCTTGGTATCAAAATAAAGCTAACACTTGTGAGATTTCATCAGACGTTTAAATATCAGAATCAGAATCATCAGAATCAGAATACTTTATTGATCCCTAGTTGAAATTATTTTTGGTTACAGTGCTCCAGTATAAACAAACAGTAACAAAGACAGTAAACTAAGTAAGAATAGCACAATACACACACACACACTTTGAAAATATGCTTCAGAAGACATTAAACTCCAGAAAACCAGTAATCAACATGTGAACATGTGAATTACGCACACACTCACATACATTGGGCCTGTTTTGCCTTGTGCCACAGTCAGTTTAAATACCCCTTGTCCCTTTAAACTCTGAGGGGCTGTAACTTTTTGGAATCTATGAGAGCTCAGCTTTTAGAAAATGTATGGTTCGCTTGGTTAGTTGTGGTTCCGTGCACATGGGGCTCGGTTGCTTGTTTTGATGGACATTTTGCGAAATGATGTTACTGCTGTTTTAATTGTTTGTTGTGTTTACTGTGTTGGGTGGTTGTAGAAATGGTTTATAGCTTTTAGCTGAGATTCAGAGGTTTCTGTGGATGCCACACATCCCGGGACTTACATAACGACCTCATGTTATAGCAGATAAAATTGAATCTTCCCTCCTTTTTTGTAGCTCTTTGGTACCAGAGATGCTGGGTACCAAAAACAGTAAATCTGAGTGAAGATTTAAAGAAAGTTATATTGTATTTATTTGTTTTAGGGAGAGAGATTACCACCACACTGTCAGTTATACAGAATGTTAAAGCTAACGGTTTAACACAAGAACTGGAAACAAGCAAATGGATGTTGTTACCTGTGAGCCAATGCTGCAAGCCAAGCTAGCTGTTTGCCCTGATTCCAGCATTTTTGCTAATCTAATCTAACTACTTGCTCATTGCAGCTTTTGCTTTATGTTTTATTGTTGATGGGCATCAATGTTGAGTTGCATGCAGTAAAAGTTCATTATTAAAAAACTTTAACATTACCCTGAAGCTCCTGTTCGTTTCCCGCCTGCTTGCTGTGGGATGGTCATGGTAGGTCCGAGGTCAGAGAACTCCTTGCTCACAGCTGTGGCCATGACTCTGACGGTGCTATCATTGTTGTCCACCAGGTGAATCTCAGTTAATGATCTCAGACCTTGTGGGCTGTCACAGTGCTCCCGAACTGCCTGGGCTATGGTCTCAGCACAGAGGTCAACAGGGAAACCAAAGATGCCCGAGCTGATCGCTGGCAGTGCAATGCTGGAGCAGTTGACCATCTCTGCTTGTGTCAGACTTTCTCTAACTGCAGTCTTCAGGTGTGACACTGACGTCTTCCTGTCAAAGTCAGAGAATCGTGGACCAACTGCATGGACAACATGTTTGCAAGGCAGGTTATATGCATCTGTTATGATGGCGTCACCAGGACGTAGACGTCCATTTTTAGCGACGTAGTCGCTGCTTTCTCTCTGCAGCTGTGGTCCTGCAGCCTTTAGCAGTGCCAAAGCCAGGCCACCAATGTGGTCTAAGTCCTCATTAGCTGCATTGACCACAGCGTCCACACCAAAGCTGCAGATGTCCACCTTACTGACAGAAATCAGTACTCCACTGTTGGTCTGCACTCTGCACAGGGTAGTTTCTTCTTCATAATTCTCTACTTCCTCTTCTTCTTCCTCTTCAATCTCTGGATGAAGGAGAATCACACATCCTAACTTATTCATTATTGTAGACAGGAAAATGCTTCCTTGGTTTTGGAAATATTTCTTTGCTCCGGGCTTGTCCACAGTTAAGGTGTCAGTGAAGAGAGCACTGGCCAGTTCCATAAAGCAGGATTTGGTTTTCTGGACATGAAGACGAGCTCCAGCAAAGCTGATTCTTGGCCTCTCTACATGAAAACTTACTGAAACATTATTATCTTTGGCAATACTGTACCATTCCTCTATTCTTTTCTTTTCAATAAACTGAACAGCAGCACAAGATTGAACACAAAGGGTTTCTTGAACTCGTGAGTAGTTCTCAACAAATACCCTCAGACTCTGGCTGACCTCTTTCACTGGATTCACAAAACCAGCCACTGTTATTTTTCTCTCTGGGTGCATCTGAATGGCCACAGTTTTTTTCTTCGATAAGTTGAAGATATCTAGCAGGTTTTGTTTCAGGTCCATCCAGGTTGGAAGTTTTAAAACTTCCTGATCTTCCACATTCACAATCTGATGAGCCAAAGCAGCCATCATCTTACTTTCTGCATCAGCAAGGATTAAGTCAGAATTTCCCAACAGCAGAAGTCCTTTGTTGTCAATGGTGTAGGCTGCATTGATGCCTTGAGATGCGAACAGATCCTGGGATATGTCCATGGGATCCAATGTTCTGAGAAAGTCTAGAAGACATGGGGGAACATTCTGGTATTTTTTACTCAAATTCACATTCCTCTCCAAGATCCACGCCTTAGTCTCGAAGACCTCTGCAGGAAGTCCTGTAATGGTTAACTTCTGGGTGCTTTCATCATAAGAGAGTTTCATCTCAGGAGAAATGTCCAGAGCAGTTATCTGGAGCCCCTCTTGTTTCAGGACGTAGAAGATTGCGGGGAACAAAATCATTTCCTCAGAGATGCTGTTTGTCTGTCGTTCAATGTGACTCATGGCTTTAAGAAGAATGTTCTCTACAGAAGCCCTGATTCGTTTTATATCATCAGCTCGGCCAGCAACAGTCAGAACCCCTTTGGATGCATCCAGCACCAGGATGGCATCTTCCTTCACAACTGAACGGACATCTTTCTCTGCAGCTGTCCATCCCAGTGCATTTGCTTGACATTCAAATGCCATGTACTGAGACATCAGGCGACGGAAGGCATGTTGGACCTTACTCATCCAGTTTTTTACATGTTCTGCAGTCAGATCTTGCTGCCTCAAAAACTCATGCAAAGGGCTGAGTTTCAGTTCAGGGTCATTCAAATCCACTCTGCAGAAATGTGGACGCATCTGATCATTGATGTGTTCTGATAGTTTCTTCTCCACAAGGAATTTCCAGATAACGTGGTGAACAGGCTCTGTGAAGGGCTCGGGCATCTTCCATGTTGGGCGTTCTTTGCCATACAAGACGGTTCCCAGTGACTCGTAGTATGGATACACCTTCACAGTTATAGACTTCATCTTGAGGTCTTTTTTTACACAAATCTTTTCCACAACTGCAGCAAACAAGGAGCAGAGAAGCAAAGGTTAGGTAAGTGGTGTTAAGGGGATTTTTTTAATGTTTCTATAAAGATTTATCCAAGTCACAAGGGGTTTTGAACCTTTTTTTTATCTGACATAACCCCACAGACATAAAACATTCTTCTATAACTCCTTTCATATTCAAATTATTTCATCCATCCATCCATTCGCTTCCGCTTATCCTTTCCAGGGTTGCGGGGGCACTGGAGCCTATCCCAGCTGTCATAGGGTGAGAGGCGGGGTACACCCTGGACAGGTCGCCAGAACACTAACACATAGACGCAGGCAACGATTCGCACTCAAATTCACTCACAGATTCACACCTATGGGCAATTTAGATTAATCAATTAACCTATCCGTCAGTCTGCCCCAGGGCAGCTGTGGTTACAACTGTAGCTTGTCTCCACCAGTGTGTGAATAGGGTTAGGGTCAGGACCCTCTTGCTGTGCGGCTACCGTGCTAACCACCATGCTAACCAACATGCCACCGTGCTAAATAAACCTTTAGGGTCGCTGAAAGTGATGATGGCAGCCTGTTCAGTTGGGATCATGACAATTTTGGCCGGCAGAGTCCAGGTCTTCTCAAAATACAGCTCCAGCATGTCTAGAAATAAGACAGAAATACACAATTTTACAGCTGCTTAAAGGATAAATTCAATTTCTAAAGGTTCGTCTCCATGAAATTTGACAATAACGTGAGGTTTGTGTAATGATGAATGAGCTCAGGAACAGCAGAACCCCCTCAGGACATCCAGCATTCATTGTAAATAACATGACATAACTCTTGTTTTAAAACACATATTTATGCCGTAAATAAAAGTCAGCTCAAACTGACAGATATAATTTTTCCAAAACATCACAAAAAACTCTAATAATATAGAATCTACTACGTGTGAGAATCTTTTTTTTCTGCAGGTGTTTTTCTGAAACAGTTTTGGCAAGAATCCTGAGACATGCTAGGATCTACAATTCTAATAATTCATCCCATATTGAAAACACACTGTAATATGTGCTGAACCTCACGAAAGAGGGAAAAACAGATCTGTTTTTTATTATATTACACACATATTACAGTGTTTAAAGAAATTTAAAACCCGGATAATGTGAAATGGTAACAACAAAAAAAGAAAACCAGGAGAAAAGGAATCATCAACAAATATGCAACAAAGCTTCAAAATACACACAAATACACAATCAGCAAACTCACATGAATCTAGTCCCTGTCAGGACTCTTGCTGCAGCATTTTGGATTAGCTGAAGGCTTTTCAGGGAGTTTTTAGGACTTCCTGATAATAATGAATTACAGTCGTCCAGCCCGGTTAGATACCATATTTCTAAGATTTTCAGGGCCAAGTGCAATAACCTCAGTTTGATTTGAATTCCTGCAGTTTAACTCATTGGTGTGTGTTATCTGGCTTCATGGACAGATAGAGCTGGGTGTCATCTGCATAGCAGTGTAAATGTATGCTATGTCTTCTAATGATGCTGCCTAAGGGAAGCATGTATAATGTAAACAGAATTGGTCCTAGCACTGAACCCTGTGGAACTCCATAATTAACCTCAGTGTGTGAAGAGGACTCTCCATTTACATGCACAAACTGGAGTCTATTAGATAGATATGATACAAACCACTGCAGCGCAGTACCTGTAATACCTACAGCATGTTCTAATCGCTCTAATAGGATATTATGGTCGACAGTATCGAACGCTGCACTGAGGTCTAGCAGGATGAGCACAGACATGAGTCCACTGTCAGGGGCCATAAGAAGATCATTTGTAACCTTCACTAAAGCTGTTTCTGTGCTGTGATGAGCTCTGAAACCTGACTGAAACTCTTCAAATAAACCATTCCTCTGCAGATGATCTGTTAGCTGTTTGACAACTACTCTTTCAAGGATGTTTGATATGAAAGGAAGGTTGGAGATTGGCCTATAATTAGCTAAGACTGCTGGGTCTAGAGATGCTTTTTGAGTAAAGGTTTAACTACAGCCAGCTTGAAGGCCTGTGGTACATAGCTGATCATTAGAGATAGGTTGATCATATTTAAGATCGAAGCATTAATAATGGCAGGACTTCTTTGAGCAGTTTTGTAGGAATGGGGTCTAAAAGACACGTTGATGGTTTGGAGGAAGTAATTATTGAAGTTAGACTTTTACATACAGTCTATGGTTTTTAGGAGCACATGTACCTTCAACCACAGTCGGAGGAAGACTCTCCACTCGGATGTTCGTTGCCGCCTCCAGAGGCCGAGCGGTCAGTCCATGCTTCTTCATCTTTGAGCTGGTCTGACTTACAGAGAGGAATCTCTCCACATCTGCAAAATAATCCAGATTAATCCTTTCAGACTTAAACTGTTTCATCAGAGATGAGAGACAGAGCTGGGCTATAAATGTCAGATTTATTTATTTTAGTGTTATTTCTAATAGAACTTGTTTCAAGGTTAAAATCAATGTTTAATCTCAAAGACTGAGCCAGCATAAGCTGTCCACTGATATCAGCTCTACAATGTTTGTAAGGACATTTGAAAGACACGGTTTGAAAATATAAACATCTTAAAGCAACATTTCCAAAATGG